AAAAATGACGATTTTGACGTCGACGACACGCCCCACAGCGGAAGACCTTCTGAATTCGAATTTAACCCAGGCTCCCAATTTTTCGGCAAATTCCATTGAATGAAGATGATTGAGAATCGTTTTATGATCGCAGTTCATTCTTTCGGCCAATTCACGACTTGTTTGGTGACCGTCCTTCTTCAAAAGTGCTTTGAGACGCTCTTCGTCGAATTCGGAAGGTCTTCCGCTGCGGAGCGTGTCGTCAATGTGAAAATCGCCATTTTTGAACTTCGCAAACCATTTCTGTGCTGTAGACTCGCCTATGACACCTTCTCCCTATACGTTGCAAATGATTAGGGTTGCTTCAGCAGCTGTTTGGCTTCGATGAAAAGCGAAGAAGAGAAGGTGTCGAAAATGTTGCTTTTTACCTCCTTGATATTCTATTTCTAAGCCTGAAAAGTAATAAAAAATTAAATTACTCAAAAAGACGATTAGCACAGTTTTGTAGAGCAGAAAAAGCTCTATCGAATGAATATTATACACTTTGTCAAACAGCAAAAAATCGTTGTAAAATAAAAGACAATATAAAAACGCTACGAACGAATTCCCCAACCTAATATATGTCATTTGTCATCCCAGACTCGGGGGATGTTTCCACCAGAGCCGGGGAAAATTTAAATTAGAGTTTAGTGGCAACGTTAGTTGACAGAATACAAATATTTGCGTAGAATTACCAATTCCGGGGAATTGGTGGAATAATTCTGACGAGTAAGTTAAGCTTACCGGGCCCTGCGGGGGCGTGCCCTCAGTAAAAATCGCTAGACTCTAGCGTTTTGCACTGTTTGCTCAGAGTCGCGTACTGGCCAGGTTGATCTCCGAGTCCAGAACGGTGCTCAGCTCGTCCACCTGCCGACTGCTGATTATGCTGAGACGATTTGTGATCCCCGCCTCCTCCGCTCCCGTTAACACCCCCACCTCTGTAAACCGGAAACCGAAACGAACAAAGTTGCAGCATTATCTTTCTCTCGGAGGGTTCTCTCTGATATCTAACTCTCTGTCTCCTATTTCTGAGAACATTCCGCGTGTCATTCTGTTATCATCGGACAAATCTAAAGACAAAAATAGGCACGGGACGCTATCGAAAAAAGAAACTATAATATGTAAACACGCATAAAAGCGCACTATCTCTATCTCCGAATCGTTCGTTTTAAACATCGATCACAAAGAGTATGAAACCGAGCGGTTTCTTTAAAAAATGTTTCTAGAAAAGTTTGATAGAGAAATTCAACATTCAACGATACTGCGGAAGAACATCTAAACGATTGTACAGTTATCAATCCGGTAGGTAATTGACATGAAATTTGTTTAATCCTTTTAATCTTTTGTGAGATAATTAGCAAGTTTCTCATCGATGATCAATAACTGTACTGTATTTTGCTGCAACAATTAAAGCGATATTCAAACCCTTGACATTGATAGCTATCGACATTGATAAATCACATTATGAATGTATAACTGAATCCGTCCAGCACACTGTTAACAATAGTAAATCAACGCATCTCATGAAAGGTCAATAAAAAAATGTACATCGTCTATTAAGCGAATATTTAAATAAAGATTTGATGTAACGATATTGCATATGATTTGTTAAAAGCTCTGTAAGTATCTGTGTACTTCACATCAGGTCTTCAAAAAATGTTTTGGTAATTATAAAAGAGGGACAAAAATATGTATTTATCTTTATTCAGTGGCTCTCAATTTTAGCGGGACCGATCGCTTTACTTTGAAACGTTGATTTTTCGGTGAAACTTTGATTTCTCAAAAGGGGATGAAAATTTCCTTTGTCGGGAGAACAAGATCAAAATCGAGAACCTCCGAAGGCTTACTCATAGAAAAATCGGTCCCTTTTGCTACGAGATTAGTTTCGGTAAACCTCACACAGCTGCTTAGTATTCGATCTTTGTCGCGCCGACTGTCTTAATAAAATTGGTAATGTAATGTACTATGAAACTATGTAATCAGCAGCTACGCTGAACTAGGACTACGGTCTAACCGAATGTATATGTATATATTTATATAGGGCAAAGTTAGCATTGAATTTATCGCGACAAAGATCAAAGATAGCTAAGAAATAAAACCGAATGAAAAGATCTCATGCACAAACTTTAACATGCTCTCGTGCAGCTGACGTGCTCGAGCAGTCGCAGTAGCGTAGGACGGCGGGGGCGGCGTTAGCAAGAGAGGCTGCTTAATGATATTTTGAGTGCCATGAGCATTCGGATAAAGAGAAGGGGCTGTAGGCGGGTACGACCCTTGGCCTCGAAGGGTCCGCGCTGCTATCGCCTGCGAGGCTGCCGATGGTGGTAGGTACGGGTCCTGCTCGTCCACTTGGTGGTAATCTCTTCTAGAACAAACGCGTCATCAACCATACTGCAACCATTAGGCGACGCACGTTGGCTTAAAATGCGGGACAAGTACTATGGAAAGCGGACAATTATTCCCAAGCTCGAGATACTTCGATTCATGGTAGAACCGCATTTTAGACCAGCGTGGGACATCCGGGCCAGACGAATCACCCAGCTGTGCACACTCACCGTTTCCGTATGTAGATCCAGGTGTGAGAGTCCACCCAAACCAACACGGTGAAGAAGAGGCCTGCTGCTAGGCTTGCCAGCAGCATGAAGGTCAATCCGTACCTGAAGAATTTTAGTGTCTATTAATACAAACCATTCTAGGAGGAGCTAGCGATCTCTGCACCCTGTCGATGCAACGATCGTCGCGGACTTACAGCCCCAAATGGCACAGGCTCTTGGCGGCATGAACGTATTGCTTGTGCAGCGGTTTGCAGTCGAGCAACGTAGCTAGGCCAGAGATCAGTCTGTCGACGGTGTTCACGTGGGTCTCCAGGCTGACGAGCTTCGGTTGCACTTTCTGGTCCTTGAACAGCTGCAACGCCAGATTTGTGATCTGGTTTAGGTTCTGAACCATATCCTTGACCGTGCGCTGGCCGTCCTGCAGTCTCTGGGTGAACGGATTGCTGCGCGTGTTATCACAGTGCGTGTAATAAGACAGCACTTCCGAGGCCAGTGTGGAGGGTACAGCCCTGGTCAGGTAGCCGTCAGGAGATACGCACAAGTCGCCCAACGCCACCGATGTTGCCAGGTACAGCGAGGCCATCAGCCATGAAACTATCACCGCGAATAGACCGAACACAGAGAATCTGTGGAAAACATTCGTTGTTCCCGATTAAACTGGCGGCATTTTCACGATCGTCGTTTCGTTTACAACGAAACTTTTCACGCCGACTTCAACGTTAAGTTCGTCAACCCCTAACTAGGCGGCACGGTAAGATAGAATGCACAGGCTACATAAATTCGCGGTGCTCGCCGAGTTTTATATTTGCTGAATTACGATCTTATGAATAAATATGTGGTCGCCCCTCTCCGATGCCCAAGTCCGATTGCTACCCCTTTGCACACCTAGTTAAGGGTTGCACAAGCACGGCACAGTCGCCATTTTACGATTTCGTTTCCAGCATACCGTACGAGAAAAAGGTCGCCTGAAATAAGCTACGCCCGGTCGACGACCATCGAGCTCCACAAGGAACGCAAAAAGGATCCAACCAAGATCCAGTTAAATCCAGACGGACCCCTTTTCTCGCACGGTTTTTGCTAGAGCGAGACCGACACGTACGTTATGAGAATGCATCTGGAATGTCTGGCGACACCGACGACCAGCACCACGCAGAGAACGAGGAGAGCGCTGAGGACGGTCATGGTGATGGGCCACCTGAACTGCTCGATCTTCTCGCCCATCCCGATCGCCCCGGCGAGACTGATCCCGCTCAACGGTTTTCGGATCTCGTAGCTCCGATTCACGGCGATGCTCGTGTTCTGCTTCATGTTTTCCAGGGCGATCAACAGCAGATTCAGCATCGTCCTGTTGCTCGCTGGGACGTCGAATTCGTCTCCCAGCGCGATCAGCTCCGTTTGAATCTTCTTCAGCGTCGTCTCTATGGTGTCGGTCTGCGGGCAAGAAAGGTGCTGTGTTAGCTCGAGGCCGCGAAATCAAGAGCGAGGGAATCCTCAAAATCGAAGGAAAAAGGATCTTGCGTGCAGAGTACACTCGTAACAATGTTACTTGTAACACATTTCTATGTAAAGTCCCAATGTAAGAAAGTTCTGTGAAATATTGGGTTGGCAACTAAGTAATTGCCGATTTCAGTTATAGATGTCTCTCACTCCCATTTTTATGATATCCGTAAGTATTATATTATAAAATTATTATTATTATTATTATTATTATGTTATTTGTTATTATCCGTGAATGTTAGCAACTGGACAAATTGAATGCAGCGGTCAAGGAAAAGCGACCAGAATTGGTCAATCGTAAAGGTGTCATTTTCCAGCAGGACAATGCTAGGCCGCACACGTCTTTGTCCACTCGGAAAAAATTGATGGATATTGATTGGGAATTGATGTTACACCCACCATATAGCCCTGATCTCGCGCCATCGGATTACCACTTATTTCGAACCCTGGACAACTCCCTTCGTGGTAAAACTTTTAACGATGATGACGCTGTAAAATCTCACTTAACTCAGTTTTTGGCCGAAAAGGATCAGACTTTCTACGAGCGTGGAATTTTCAAGTTGTCAGAGAGATGGCAAAAGGTCATCGAACAAAATGGA